CAGATATGGTCAGATCTCCTCCATTTTTTCCCGGGTAGCTAATCATGTAAAAGCGTTATTTGAATTAAAACCAATGATTAAAGGTTCAAGTACGGCGTTACAACAATTAATAGATGATGTACAAAATAATTTACAGGCATTAAAGGTATTGAGCGAGCCCACAGATCACTGGGATACGGTAATAATATATTTGATGTCTACTAAATTGGATGTATTTACTAAACGAGAATGGGATAAGTATACATTGAACGTGAAGAAACTTACTTTAAAGGAGATGATGGAATTTCTTACAAAACAACGTAAGTATTTAGAAAGGAACACGGAACGAAGTACTATCACAAATTCAGGCGCGGAAACATCTACAACACAAAAGGGACTTAAACAAGGACGACAATCAAAAGGATCATCTAGTGCAACATATGTAACGGCGGATACACTAAAATGCTCAATGTGTGGGGCATCCCATTACTTATACAACTGTGAACAATTTACAAATTTGTCCGTCAAGGATAGGATTTCGAAAGTGCAACAAAACAAATTATGCTTTAATTGTTTAAAGGGTAAACATCGCAACGTAGATTGCACACTTGGACCCTGCAAGAAATGCCCTTTGAAGCATAATACTCTACTCCACATCGAGCAAAGTACTCAGCAAGGAAAAGGAACAGCTAACACCTCAGGAGAGGAAACTAGGACGACAACCAGTAGTACTACGATGATGATGAAGGACGGAGAACAAGGAGAACCGAAGGTGATACTCGGTACAGTTCAAGTTAATGTTTTTGATTCAAGGGGACAACCACAGGTCGGTAGAGGATTATTAGATAATTGTTCTCAGTCTCATTTCATTACAATGAGATTATGCAAACGCTTGTGGATACCATTAGTTCCCATTCATCATAACATTGGAGGATTAGAAACGTGGAATAAAGTTGTTAAATATAAGGCTCAAGTACAGATTGGATCTCAACATAATGGATATAAGGCCTCGATCACATGCTTCGTAGTATCAACCATTTCGGAAGACATGCCAAACATGACTATGGACATTTCAGCACTTCATATTCCCCCCAATATAACAATGGCGGATCCAGACTTCAATAAGTCGAATAGAGTGGATCTACTTATAGGAGGTGAAATCTTCTGGGATCATTTATGTGTAGGCCAAATTAAATTGCCCTATACACGATCAATGCTACAAAAAACCAAACTGGGTTGGATTTTAGTATTCTGTATCGGTACCTACTCAACGAATAGTTTCCGACCCGAGGAAAGGATGCTACATGATAACCACGCAACAATTATCAGAACAAGTCGCCAAGTTTTGGGAGACGGAAGAATGTCCGGCGCAACCGTCAAGGCGATGGTCTCAGGAGGAACAATTTTGTGAATCCTACTTTGAAGAAACCACGACCAGGGACAGGAGTGGTCGGTTTGTTGTGAGTTTGCCCCTGCGAAATAACGTATTGGAGTTGGGTGAGTCACGTACAACAGCCATGAAGAGGTTATGCGCGATGGAGCGTAAATTTTCGAGAGATTCAGACTTAAAAAAACAATATCGGAGATTTATGAGGGAGTATGAAGACTTGGGACATATGTCTAGAATCTCTGAAGACAAAATTAAGGAATTACACCCAGTATATTTCTTACCACATCATGCAGTCACGAAAGAGAACAGCACGACGACAAAAGTAAGAGTCGTATTCGACGGATCCAGTAAGACTTCCACAGGATTATCCATTAACGATGTACAGTATACAGGACCTAACCTCCTAGAAGAGATAATTTATCATCTGGTACGTTTTCGACAATGGCGCTACGTACTATCTGCAGATATTACGAAAATGTATCGGCAGATAAGGATTCATCCTGAGCAACAGAAACTTCAATTAATACTTTGGAGAGAGAATCCAGAAGATGAGGTACAAGTCTTTCAATTGGAAACACTCACATATGGAATGGCGGACGCTCCACACCTAGCTACACGATGTATACAAATCGGCAAGGATTGTCAACGGCAGGAGTAGCCATACTATACTACATGACTTTTACATGGACGATTTGCTAACGGGAGACGACGATTTTGATGCCCTTAAGAGTCTAAAGGCGACTTTAGCTACAGTGTTCAAGGACTATGGGTTTGAATTAAGGAAATGGGCAAGTAATGAGGGTAAAATTCTCGAGGAGTCAGTAGAGGACAGCGAGCCGAAACATTTTCAGGATCTCAAGGACCCTAAAACACTTGGACTTTTATGGGATCCAGAACACGACATTTTAAGATTTTCTTTACGGATCAAATATTCTCAGAAGGTTACAAAACGAACCATTCTATCGGCTGTTGCTCAAATTTTTGACCCTTTAGGATTGGTGGGCCCAGTTACGGTACGCGCTAAAATGTTGTTACAAAAATTGTGGCAGTTAAAACTAACCTGGGATGAAACAGTTCCGCAGGAGATTTACACCGCATGGACTCAATATCAAACCCAGTTGAGGAATCTGGAGGACATCGTAATACCAAGACAAGCACGCCGAGGGGACGCAGATACTATTCAACTTCATGGATTCAGTGACGCTTCAGAGAGAGCATTTGGAGCATGCATCTATGTAAGAGCTACAGATGAACAAGGCAATCATACTGTACGTTTATTAGCAGCAAAGTCACGAGTAGCACCTCTACATACGGTCACTCTTCCCCGATTGGAACTTAATGGCGCGGTGTTACTAGCAAGACTTTCCGAGAAGATTCGAAATGCGTTAAATATCGACAAAACCAGATTCTACTGGTGGAGTGATTCAGAAATAGTACTACATTGGATTGCAGGAAACCCCTCACGGTGGAATACTTTTGTGGCCAACAGGGTTGGAGAAATACAAGAACTCACCACAAATAGATGGCAGCATGTATCGACACATCATAATCCAGCAGATATAATATCAAGGGGTATGGAGGCCTCAGAATTAGTCCAGTCCGACTTGTGGTGGAAGGGCCCATCATGGTTGTCGGAGGACGAGCAACGTTGGCCTATACAACCGGTGCAATTACCCGAAGTAATACCAGAGATCCGTCAAGGAAAATATCAGTCACTGATGATCCAAGCTAAACCTGACTTGTCCTACCTTTTAACTAGATCCTCACTATTATCAAAATTAACACGAGTGATCTCGTATTGCATTAGATTTATAAAAAATACCCGAGTCCAACGTAATCAGAGATTAGTGGGGGCGCTCAATGCAAACGAACTTGATGAAGGTACAAGGGCACTAGTTCGATATCTCAACAGCAGGACTTTGCATGCGAGATTAGGAATTTAAGAGGAAATAAACATATTCCGAACCAAAGTCGAATTCTTAAGCTGCAACCGTTTTTAGATAAGGAAAACATACTCCGAGTAGGGGGTAGACTATGTAATGCGCCAGTGCCATATGAACAACGACATCCCATTATATTGTCACATTTGAATCCACTTGCGTTGCTAATTATGCGACACCGTCATTTTCGTATGTTACATGCTGGACCCCAATTACTTTTAGCTGCATTGCGAACTCAATATTGGATAACTTCAGGGAAGGCATTAGCCAAACGAACAATAATGTCTTGTAGTAAATGCTTCAGAGCAAACCCTAAGCCAGCTAGATATATTATGGGCGATCTTCCAACTAATAGAGTTACACCAAACCGAGCATTTTATGGTTGCGGATTGGATTATGCGGGCCCCTTTTATGTAAAATCGCGAGTCCGTGGGCCAGCCAATATTAAAACTTATATGTGCGTTTTCGTCTGTATAGTTACCAAAGCGGTACATTTAGAGCTTGCGACTGATATGAGTACAGATGCATTTCTAAATTGTCTTCGTAGGTTTATCGCCAGACGTGGCAAATGTAAACATATTTACTGCGATAACGGTACGAATTTTGTCGGAGCCAAAACTGAATTGTCTGAACTGTACGATAAACTGTCTAAAATTGAATTTCAAGAAAATGTAACCAATTTTTTAGGAGAGGACCGGATTCTTTGGCATTTTAATCCTCCATCAGCTCCAAACTTTGGAGGTTTATGGGAAAGTGTGGTTAAATCCGCAAAGCGACATCTTAATAGAATATTATTTAATACCTCTCTAACTTATGAAGAATTGTACACGGTGTTGACACAAGTAGAATCCTGTTTGAACTCACGACCGTTATCCCCCTTGTCAGAAGATCCTTATGATCTTATTCCATTAACTCCAGCACATTTTTTGATTGGAGATACCATGGCTGCATTACCGCAAGAAGATCTCACCAACGTCAACACGAATCGATTGGATCGGTATCAACATTTGCAGCAATTGGTCCAACACTTTTGGAACCGTTGGCGCACGGAGTATTTACATCAACTTCAAACCAGAAATAAATGGAATGATGCATCAGGCGAATGTTTTAAACCAGGTACCTTGGTAATAATTCGTGAGGACCACTCTCCACCATGCAGGTGGCCTATGGCACGAATTACGGATATACATCCTGGGAAAGATGGCGTAACAAGGGTCGTTACGTTAAAATGTTCCGGTTATCGCTTCTTGAAGCGACCTGTTACCAAACTCTGCATATTACCCTGGCAAGAAGAGAAATCAACCCCAGAGAAAGAAGTCCACGAAGAATAGAAGATTGTATCAATTTAATTCAATCGTACTATGTATTGCGTTACAATTTAGTTTATGCGTTTATGTTCATTTTCACTTTTAGTTATATTTTTTCTTCTCTTCTCTCATGTACCCACCTCTTGTACTTATTTTATGTTTATGTCACACTTATATACTAGAAAGCCTCCAGCTTTCCAGGGGGGCAGTATGTTAGGAAATTATATTCCGTGTTCGACCGAGTTATCGATCGGTGTTAGTACCGAGAGGTCCGCGATAATGTAGAGGGAGTTTTGGGCCAGAGGGCGTGAGAGAGGGAGAGAGAGGAGTCCGTCTGTCTCGTCATAGCACGGCAAGCGAAAGGACGTGCGTAAAAAGTATTCAGTTTTGTTGGTTGAGTAAAGAAATTACGGAAACCAGTGTGTGCTTATTCACATCCCATTCCCCGGACTTATTACAAGAACCTAGAACATAACAAAGATTTTAGAAATAACATCATAATCCCCTTTGCGGGTACAGTTAGTGACGTAATAAAGAAAATTCTAAGAAACCAATATATTGATACGCGATTTTCTACTCCCAAAAAATTAGACATAGTAATTAGAAAAGGAAAAGATAGAAATGCCGACTTGAATCGAACCGAACTTGTTTACCAGCTCAATTGCATGGACTGTGATGCGATTTACATTGGTCAAACCAAGAGACACATCACTACAAGAATAAATGAACATCGAAATGACATCAAGAAACCAGTCATAAATCACTCTGTTGTTAGCAAGCATCGAGATCTTGTCGGAATGAATTTGACTGGTCTAACCCTAAAATATTACATAATGAACCACATTTTAAAAAACGTGAAATAACAGAGATGTTCTACATAAAGAAATTTATTAATAACATCATTAATTTACAACAGGATACAGACAATCTCAGCTCGATATATGACAAAATTGTGCGCACCACCTAATGTTTTGTAATTACTTATTTCTTTGTCATCCCCACACGTCGTTATACTTTGACTCACCCAACGAATGTTGATCTCTTGACAACTCAGCGCTTTTAGTCTTCCACAAGCTTTTATACGAATAGACGTTCTTAGTGACTTACATTAATTTCAATTTGAAGTAACATGTGAGTAGGGGTATATAGGGCGTTCTAACCCAGAAGCTCCGAGGGGGGAGCGGGGCACGGGGAGTACTCCATGGCGAGGGGACAGCGGGGAGGGGGGTACTCCGCGACGAGGAGACCGCGATCTAGATGCTGACCTGTCATTTTTGACACCTGGACGGGTATGAGTCACAGGGTCAAGCGCCGAAACCTGGCTGATGACTTTCTTATCAAGGTGAACGATGTCGAAGAGTTCCACGTTTATTATTCCACAACGCTTGGCGATCCGCGGGGCGCGGGGAGGGGGAGGACCGCGACGCTACGCGATCCGCGGTGGCGCGGGGTGGACCGCGACGCTATGCGATCCGCTGCGCGGAGAGGTCCGCGGCGCGAGGCAATCCGCGACACATGCATGTAATAGATATCATCGGAGATGCCTTTGATTAGCGCCGATACCACAGCTGCGCGCATCCATGGCATGAGTCGCGGGGTCAAGCGCCGAAACCTGGCTGCTGACAACGACTTTTATGGTATATAAACGGTCCGGAAGCCTGCTGTACTACAGTAGATTTTATACGAGATCGAAAA